CATTTGCTATCCGCGATAGTGATCATTAACGTTGTCGTGTGATTAAGAATGGTACCATCAACGCTTCCATTTCGACGGAATTTGGCACGCGAAGAAATGGGTCAGTAAAAGTTGTCAAATATTCACGATTCTGGGGAAAACTCGCGTGGACAGTGGTAATTATGGAAACGACGAGAATATCAGGGTTGTAGCGAGATATTTTGGATTATCCTTTGCTCGAAAGGTTGTAAAATTAGGCAGACGCATGAATGTTTGGAACGATGTTTGGTACGTCTTTTCTGGGAGACGAAAGAAAAGGTCCTGGCTGCAGCTTTCGATGATCTCAAGTTCGGCACTCATTCAGGTCTTAAGCAATTCTGTTGTTTTATTTATTTATTTTTACTAGAAGATTTCCCATTATATTACACAAGCACTACAGGTAATACCAGAAATACTAACGGACGCAAATTCTAAATGAGAAACTTACAAGACTCTGTCAATATGTCGGAGGAGTGAGTAGAAGCATTGAAAAAATTTAAATGCGCCTGCCAGTTCGCAGTTTCACAAATTCGGTGAACATATAGGGTCCGTGTACGAGAAGCTTGATGAGTATCTTTGATGCAAGAAAGGTTGAGCAGGTCTAGTATAAAAGTTTATTAATTGCAATAGCTGAGTATAGCGAATGGAACCATTAATAACCTTTAAAAGAAACAAATTGGTTTTGGTTTTCCTAATAAAGTATCAACTGGAGTAAGACCTCCTTATACTCGATTAATTTTCACATAGTCACCTATCATGAAGTATTTCCACATATCAAGTGCGTCATTTAAGGAAGCTTTCAAAAAATTCCTTTTTTTGTTAAGTGTGTGCCTTTGTTACACCATATTACAACCTCTGTACCTAAAACTTCTCCGTCTCGCCTGCCACGTTCGTTTACCCTAAACCTCCGCAAATTCTCAAAACAGTACGCGCAACAATACGAAAATTACTTCACCGAGCGAATAGTACTGTTCGAAACGTGACCTGGTGTACGGTCGACGGTGGTCCGCCCATTAAAACAATATTTTATGCCTAATTGATGCAAAGTAAGTCGTCGCTAAGAACGTCTGCTGATTTGAATTGTTAATCGAACGTACAACGTCGGTCCATTGATGTCTAATTATCATGTACACCGTGATTCAACGGCATTACGCTTACGAACGAACCTATGAATCATATTTAAAGACAAATGAATTTCCCAGCATTATATGCAAAACGTTACCGGTGCCGCGCGTAGGATAGGCACAGAGGAGCAGAAGGGGAAGGGGAAGGTAGAGAGTTCGGCGCGTTATCAACCCGTGATTTCACAGAGGAAAAGTGCGCGCTCGCGGTCGCGCGCCAGTAAGGTAGTCAATAATTATCCTGGCGACTATGCGGCAATAAATCAATGCTTCGAAACAAAATGACAGGGACGATGGCCGTTGATAATACACGTGTATATACGAATGTACGCTAATTGCACGCGCCGCCGGAGAGATATATACGACGAGACTGGCGAGATTAGACGAGCCCTCCCGGTATATCCTGCTGATTTCAGACGGTTGTATCTGTCTTGCACAACTCGCGCCAGCACGCCACGGTGTTGCAATAAACATTGTAACGTTAATGCTACAGGCTACGTGGTAGGGTACGGAGAATCGTGCAAATGCGCTTTTGAAGAGAGTCCACGGTTGTTAAATTTCGACGTCCTTCGATCATTAGGATCGTTCGAAGCGGAGACAGAGTAACAGCTCGTACGTACACGCGATAGAACGTGTTGTAGCTATAGTAGGTAACTAAGTATGTATATAGACGGTGAACACGAAACGTAATCGTGGTTAGCAGCCTGTATGTGGGAAAAGTGCGGTGCCAAGCAATAAAACGGAATTAATATTACGCGTGAGCTTAAAGACAGACGCTATCGATCAACCGAATCCGGGATAATCTATTAGAGTTTAATATCCTGTAATAATAAAGTCGAATCATTTATTGTTTTCTGCCGTTTACGAGCAAATAATTTGTTCCCGGGGCTACGTTACAAATGAACGCGGCCGGTGTGGATAAATCAAGGGAGCAATAATTACAACGTGCGAGCGAGAGGCGGCGGAGGAGAGGGAGGGAGAGACTCCTCGCGCGGAGGGAACGAAACGCGGCGCGGCGCGCCGCGTGTGACTGTGATGTTTGGAAAGTTAACATTCTCCATGCGTCAAAGTCACAGTGACGAATGATTTTTTCAGCCGATTAGCGGTTTTTTTTTTCTCTTTCTCTCACTCACCGGCGAACTTTTATCGCTCGCCGGGAATACTTTCAATAATGACTATGTAAAGCCGACTTGCACGTTTCCGTGGCCGTGCCGAGTCGAACAATGCTTTCTGTTCTATAGAACTAACCAGACGTAAATAGCGTACGGGCCCCGTGTACAAGCCCTTTGTCGTGGTATCATATGCCATGTCACCTAATCATTATTGTAAGTGTCTATGAAAAGAATGTAAGCTTGCTAGGAGAAAAATTCGTCTTCAAAGCAGCTATCAATTATATCCACCTTCGACTGTTACACGAGATAAAGAGAAACGAACAAACGTTTCTAACAAATTACATTCTTCGAACTTCATCTTCGACGCGAATCTCCGAGCGCAGGAAGTTCTCCCCCGAAAAATAACGAGATAACGCTGTAACAACCCACGCGACCTGTGCGCTGCGTGCATTGTTCGCGCCGCTTGGGAACAGGTTGAATCGGTTAGGCGATTTCAGGCTGGTGTGCGCGCGTGTGCGAGGGCCACGTACGCGCCAGTGGCACGCGTGACACGCATCTCATTGCGAATAGGTCACGGAGTTCGTAAGAAACCGAGCGCTTTGCGCTTATGTACGTTTATGGTTGTGTTTCACGGTGGAACGCAGTCGGGTTCTGATCGTTTTCTCTCTCTCTCTCTGCTGTTGCCGCCGACTGCGTCGAACCGAGGTTATTCAGCTAGACGCAGAATACGTCGAGCAGCGTCGCGTATTCGCGTCGCTATCGGCCGTTAGCGATGATGCACGCCGCCTCTGAGGTACGATCGGAGCTGTGCCGAGGCGGTATATCATCCGCCACCTAACAAGAACGATAGAGAGCTTTTCCGCGCGCACGGTGATTTATGCGAATCGTCGCGGCCACGGCTGGCCGCGCCGTGTAATTTACCAACGAATTGATTATTCTTCGCGCCGGCTATCGGGAACTCCGCTCCGATCGCCACGATCGTTTCGTCGACTCCGTGATTGGGTTTAACGTGTACAGGTTGATCGCGGAGCGGTGGATCGTTGCCAAATGGGTGTTGTTTATTCGACCCTTGTAACAGAATCTGAACTGCATTCGAATTGAACCGGGATTTGTATTCGAACTTGCTTAGATTACGATTTCAATTTGAATATATGAATATCTGAATATTTGAATATATGAATATTTGAATATTTGAATATTTGAATATTTGAAAATTTGAATATTTGAATATTTGAATATTTGAATTTGAATATTTGCACATTTGAATATTTGGATATTTGGATATTTGAATATTTGGATATTTGAATATTTGGATGTTTGAATATTTGAAAATTTGGATATTTGAATACTTGAATATTTGCACATTTGAAAATTTGGACATTCGAATATTTGAATATTTGAATTTGAATATTCGAATATTTGGATATTTGAATATTTGAATATTGGAATATTGGAATATTTGAATTTGAATTTAAATTCGAATTTGAATATTTCCCGAAATTCACGGATATACAATTCGAAAAATGCGCCTCTTATTGCCAACTCGCGGAATTTCACCGGGGAAAACAACAAGGAATTTCTTTCATCTTCCCGAGATTGGAACCGATCTTGCAAAGATAAGAAAGACGAAATTGCAATAAACGGCACCAGATCCCCTTTGTGCAAATCTCCGGCAACGTGCGACTAAACTAAAAACATTCGAAAAATGTTTCCTCCCACAAAGCGTTGCAATATCGCTGTACTTTATTTCAAACCTTTCTTTTTCACGCTACGAATTGACTATTAATTTCCATTTCCAATTGACGACAGCACCCTGTTAATTCCAGCAAATTTACGTTACATTTCATTTTGTCGCCGTTGTTCTGCCCCTTACCCGTTGTTACAATACGTTTTACATAAATCATTAACGGAGAAATACCGCGATACATTGTAACGGACAAAATTATCTCAGCCACGGATGTTGAAGCATTTGCCAGCAGGTGGCAGCACTACCTTAGGCAAGCCTCGTATGTTATATCGTGGTGTGAATGGTGGGAGAAGCAGTATGGCGCAGAAGCGTACGCACAGTCGATTGCACGACGTTGCGATGGTTTAGTGCCGCCTGTAACTTCGCGTTAGAAAGGCTAACATTCAATGGTTCACTGTGACGGATTGGACACCGATTTTCCTCGTGCAGAATGAGGTACGTTCACAATTCCACGTATTTTACAAGAATCCTCTGTGAGCATGCGTCTATCGATCCGAAAACTTCGCCCTCTAACCGGTTTTCCACGAATTATACGCGAACAAAGATGTTTGTTTTCGTCGTTGTTTACACACGTGTGTTTACTTTACAGTAGCGTGTATCGATCGTTACGTATAGAAAACAGGTAATAAATCGTAAAATCAAAGTATCGATACAAGTTTCTGTGATAAAAACGTTTCAGTAAGATTGCGTCGTAGTGGAACGTGTAGCGTATCGACCTGAGGTGCGAGTGGTCGCGAGTTCAAATCCTTAAAGGCGGGAAAATTTTAGAACTTGGTTTTTTTTCGAAATTTAACAATTTTCGTAATATTTTTCTATATTTCCTAGTACTTCTATATACGTACTATAATTACTAAATTACTAAACAACATATACAAGCTGTTTCGTTCAATCTGTACCAAAATATACTTGCTAATAAAAACAATTCCAACGATTCTACACTCTACACAGTACTCTACATCCCAGCTCTATTCTCATTCGTAGAACGCGTCTCCAGAAACAGAGTGGAAAGAAGATGAAAACATAAGAATCGTGTTACACGTGTTCCACTCGGATCGTTCGAGCAATCCAAGATGCCGTTCACAGCAGACGCTGCCGCCAGCCAGATCCAGGAGAGGCTGAAGAACCTGTACCATCTGGTGCACGAGATCGAAACTCAGCGTGTTCGTTCGGAACACAACCTGAACAACATCATCAAGACCTACGAGAAGGTAACTCCGGAGGACAAAGTTTCGCCGTACTACCAGCAAAAACTGAAGAACCTCTACAACGCGGCGATCGGGGATTCCCAGCAAGAGGAGGAAATCCTCCGTAAAGCTTTAGGGAAGATCAACGAAATCCGCGCGATCAGAAACGAACGACGCATACAAGCTCGCAACGCGGGGAACAAAGAGACGATCCGTCGAGGTGCTCTGATGAAGATGTTGCTGAGCACGGCGCAGACTCTTCCCCTGTACGTAGGCAAGACGCCGGGAGCGAAACCGCCGCCGTTGTGCGGGGCGATCTCCGCCGAGCCCACGTACATCGCGAAAATGGGCGACATGGTGGCCGCTCTGGTGAAGGGCTCGGAGGAAGAGGAGAACTGGATCCTAGCCGAAGTGGTTCAGTTCAACCCCACGACGAACAAATACGAGGTGGACGACATCGACGAGGAGCAGAAGGACAGGCACACCCTTTCGCGACGAAGGGTGGTACCACTGCCGTTGATGAGGGCTAATCCAGAGACAGACCCGCACGCCCTCTTCCCTAAAGGCTCGATCGTGATGGCGTTGTACCCTCAGACTACCTGCTTCTACAAGGCGGTGGTGAACCAGCTGCCCACAACCGCCACCGAGGAGTACGAGGTGTTGTTCGAGGACGCGACCTACGCCGACGGTTATTCCCCTCCGTTGAACGTTGCTCAACGTTACGTGATCTCCATCAAGGAGAGCAAGAAGAACAAGAGCCAGTGCTAACGGACGATCTGCGATCGAATCGCGCCAGTATTACCTTCACGGTCTGTCTCCCGCTCGTATTCCACGAGTAGAGTACCACCGTACCACGTTTTCCCTTTTGTACCAGAGACGCTGATCGGCGATAATAAAGTTGACGATTTTCAACGATAATACCGTTGCTCGCTGATTTGCTCGAACAGCGAGCGTAGGGGTAGAACACTTGCTTCGTCGTCTTAACCATCCGTTTAACCGGTCCCTTTCGACGAGAACCGGTGTACACACGGAGATTCGATTTTCTTTCCGATGTAATTATTCCTGCGTTGCGTACCTTTACGTACCTATCGCGATCATTTTTCCCATCGAAATCACATGGTTTGTCGTTAAGCTCGAGAACTGGAGAGTGAATTTTCTTTCCGATGTAATTATTCCTGCGTTGCGTACCTTTACGTACCTATCGCGATCATTTTTTCCATCGAAATCACATGGTTTGTCGTTAAGCTCGAGAACCGGAGAGTGAGAGAGAGAGCCAGGTTCACCGGAGGAAATAAGCACGTACTGACAGTTAGGGTCCTATTTCCGCGATACTCTTGCACGCCGGGGGTAATTGACGTAGATTATACGACGATAATAGCGGCATCCTTGTACACGCGGGTGGACCTTAACCCGGACTGGTCTGACCTTTCGTGGAATCGGTTCTCCGTGACTTCGTTCGAGCAACGGGCAATTTCTTCCTGTACGGAATAAATCTTCCTCTCCTCGCTGACAAGAGAGAAAGAGAGAGAGGGAGGGGGGGG